GTTTTATGGTTTCAATGGTGAGCATCCCCAAAGGTTTATATGTAAAGCCTTGGTCCCCAGGGTGGTAATAATGGAAGGTATCATGGACATATAGGAGATGAGGCCTTGTGGGAAGTCTTGGTTCACTGGGAAGGTTCTCAGAAGGGATTATGTTACCCCAAATCTAACTAGTAACGAGGAACAAGCGAGAGGAATGGCTGCTGTGGAAGATATAATGTTCACTTGTTATGTGATTTCTCAGCTCAGTCCCAGGAAAAACAGCAACAAAATCATCCCTCTCCCCTCTGCAGCCACTCAGATTTTTGTGGGAATTCATGTTCACTACCTCATTCCTGTCTCTCAGGTATCCACAGAATCAGGGATCTTTCTGTGGGTTTCACATATGAGAAAACTGAGACTTGATAGGATTTTAGCGGTGTCCTTATTAGCTGAGAGAAACTCACCCCAAAGCCAGTGTTGCAAGCTCTGATCAGAGGTGGCTCCTGAGAGGCAGACCCAGGTTTACCAAGCTAGATTTATGTGTTTCCAAGGGTAATAGCATGAGATTCTCATTAGGAATTATATATAACTTCTTTTTAGTCTTTATGAATTTGTCATCAAAGTACTTCAGGTGGAGCTAAAATCTCTGAGTAGATGGACATAGGTGTTCAGAGTCATCTGATCTGTTCTGCAGGCAGAATAATACAGCTGACCTAATCTGGATCTAGCATTGACATAATTCTCAGACCTAATGGAGAGATAAGCCTGTCACAGAGCAGATGGTGAAGAAGCAGTAGGGACCCAATGGTGCCTTCCAGCCCAGAGCAAAATATTCATCACATCACCCACTGTTGTGGGCCACGGTCACCTGGTTCACTGTGCCCTGGAGCAGCTCAAGGCTATGAGGCTCCAACAAGGGTAGGCTTGTGCTCTGAAGAAGTGGTGCAGCCTTGCCTCGCTCTGGCATTATAGAAAGAAGGTTCTCAGAGAACAGTTCATGCTGAGGTTTCCCTAGAACATGAGCTCTGCCTTTGCTGGCCCATTACACACCTTCCTTGTGAGTCCTCACTTGTGAATGTGTCAGCCATTATATATTCAGGGGTTCTGAAGCAGAATTAGGCCTTCCTTGAGGACTGCAAATCTGTTTCCATGCCACCAGTCACTCAGCCTCCTGTCAAAGTCTGTGATGATGGATGGTAGTGATTTGGGGATGCAAAATCTCATACAAGTTGTACCTCCCCCCCAAAAAAACCAGCTTTCTACCCTGGCATTGCAGCACTACAGCAGAGAAATCTTGCCTTGGTGCTTTTGGGAAGTGATAGAACCTTTATGCTGTGTGACCTGGTGGAAGGAAGCTAAACCATCAGTGGTGTGCCCTTGAAGGAGATATTGGGACCTCCTCTTCCTCGTTCCTCCCAGCTGCCATGAGATGAGAAACTCAGTCCTCTCCATACTCTCACTGTGATGATCTGCTGCCCTATGGGCCCAAACAACAAGGCCAACTAACCATGGACTAAAGCCACTGATATTCCTGTGGAATATACAAAAAGGCCCCGAGATATGAAACTGGTGAGTTTCTGGGAGAGCAGAGCACCATGCAGCTAGAGCAAGGTAAGTGGAGGGTTGTAAGATGTTGATCACAGAGCAGCAGATCTCTGGGGTGTTGGTCAAGATTCTCAGAATGACAACTCTGAGATGGAGACCGACTGGCATTCTGGGGATGGTGGGGAATGCCCCTAGGGCAGTCAGCACCAAAAAGAGTGGACAGGTTCTTGCGGAGATATTGGGCTGCAGTGCAGTTGAAGGAAAGGCTTCTGTGGAGCCCTCTCAGAGTTCTGGGCCAGATATGGCCCTGCAGACTTGTCCTGCCTTAAGGCTGGGGCAGGTACTGTGTTTGTAGGCCCAGACACCAGCTGGCTGCTCCTCAGCATGGGAGGAGGGCCCTAAGAGGACATTCTCTCCAAGTCTAGGGAGCCAGAACTGCCCATACTCCCAGCATCTGGGAGACATGGCTCTGCCCTGGAGGAGGGTCGGGCACCACAAGTACCCACTTCAGCCCTGGAAGCCCATGTCAGTGGCTGTGCTATAGCTGCAAGCATGTGGAAAATGAGGCTCAGAGACCAGTGGGTTTCTTGGTGTCATCCAGCAGGCTAGGGCAGAACGAGGGTTAAGTGTCTTGCTTCCTGGTTCAGCACATGGCAAAGCACACTCCACTGTGATCCCAGTGCAGGCACTGTACTCTGTGGCAGAGCAGACTCTCCTGTCTTCTCCTCTAACCCACTCATTACCTTCCCAGGCAGTCCCAAGGGAGGCAGGTGGCCCCGTGGGTTCAGTCCCAGGGTTCAGTGAGTACAAGCAATGGAAACTGACCTTGGCTGTCTTTCAACAAAAAATGAATACTTCGGGACTGGAATTGGAAAGCACAATTGACCACAGCTAACTGAGAAGGAGAAGGGGCATGTGGGGAAAGACAGCGGCTTTTTGGTCAGCAGTTGTCACCCTTCCACATTAATAATGGAGATAGCCTCCAACCACTGAGGTTGGACCCTCCCATCCTCTGCCTTCTCTGTCCCTGATTCTAGCAGTGTTGACTTAGCCCACATGCTGAGTTGAAGCACAAGACCCTGGTCTAAGGAACTAGCCTCAGGGATGGGTTCAGGAAAGAGCAGGTGACCCCGCTGGAAATGCTGAACTCACCATTAATGCTGTACCTGCTCTACTCCCCCACTCATGATACTAGGATAGGGATGGAGAAACTTTCAGAGACCGAGCACTCAAATTGCAACCCTAAACCAGCTTATTTATTACAAAGTGCCCACACTGAAATTCAACCTGAATACTGAGGTTTGAGTTTAGAAAACACAACTGTCATCCTGCTGACAGATAAGGCACTGCGTGCCCACTGCAGCACACATGCCATAGGTTCACCACCACTGTCCTAAGATGATGCAGGCAGGAGCTACTGCAACCGTTTTGCTACCGTAAGTTCAAAGCATGTGTAGATAATGGAGCAAACATCACAAGGGCTCAGCTTAAGAGAAGCTAGAAGGAAGTCAAACCCAAAATCAACTTTTATGCCTTTGATTCTATTTTTCAAATAAGTGAAGTGTTCCATTTTGTTTCTTGTAATCCTTAAAGGTTCTCAGCTACCAAGAGGTTGCTTCTAGAATAAATGAAATCAACAGCTTTTGAAGGTTTTTGTGTTACTCTGCCAAGATGCAAAACCCTCCACTATTGATTACTCAGTAGATCTACTTCTAAGTAAGAGTCTGTGTTTGGCAACTGGAGGGTAGAACTTAAACTTCCCCAAATGGGAAGTTTTCTGATGCAGAAGTAAGTTTGCTGAGTGGCAGTTGGAGAAAAATTATCCTAGCACAAAAAAAGGAACTTGGTTACAACACCTGCCCCTTCCTAATTGCCCTCCCTTAGAATTAGTGCTACCAAGCTTTGCCTCACCTCCTGGTTGGGTTGCTCGTTGCCTATGTCTACAGATCTCTTCTTGGTCTTCCTGTGAGTGCAAGGTTCTGACAGCATCTCTGCCCTGACCTTCATGTCAAAGCCCATTCCTTCTTCCCACTTCTCCTTGCCCCGTTCTTCACTTCAGGCTTCCAGGAACAGCTTTATGTGATAACAGGAGTCTTTCACAATCTTAAATAAGAGAAAGGTGAAAGGGAGGTGTGGGCCTTATTCCATTGAGATTGCACTCAAGGCTCTGTTCCTGCAAATCCATGATTCCTGTCATAAATGCCTATGGCTCGCACAGGCCCACATGAAGGAGGCCATTCCAATCCTCCCCTGCCCAACAATGCCCACCCTACTTTGTAAATAGAGGCCTTGGCTTGTGCCAAGAGACACTGAGTGGAGAATTCTAAGCTCCTTATTCACATAGAAGCTGTGCCTCATGTACTTCAGAATCCAAGTGTCCAGGAGGGTGCCTTCTGCATAGTCATTGTGACTCTTAAATCCTCACAGGCAGAGACCCTGGTCCTGCTGTCGGTGTACGTTGTGCCTGCTTGACAGTCACGTTCTCTCTCTGGGCTTCACTTAACCTGCCAGCCTATCCAGGGCAGGAATTGCCTCTGCAGTTTCTGAGATAAGCACCTGTGATGGTTTGGATGTGGTTTGTCCCGCATGGGCTTTCGTGCTGGGTTCTGGGTTCTCAGTGTGATGATGTGAGTGGACTGGGACCTTTATGAGCGAGGCCCAGTGGGGGCTTGTTGGGTCTTGGGTGGGAGAGGAGGGGAGATGCCCTCAGAAGGAGTATATTTTCCCTGGGACCTGGTTAGCTTTAGCCAAAGAGTCTGTATAAAAGCAAAAATCTGGCCTCTTCTTCCCATGGCTCTATAGCCAAGATGTCGTCTGCTACATGTTGCAGCTATGGGCAACTTACCAGAGCCACGCAGCTTTTGGTGATGTGCTTTTGAACCTCCCAAACTGTGAGCTACATAAAATCTCTTTTCTCTGTATATGACCCAGCCGTGCAAATTTTACCATTACAACAAACGGCAGAGTAGTTTCGCTTCCCCAAGTTAGGGACCTCATGTGATCACAGGCACCCTGATCCAGCTCAAGATCTCTGAACTGCAGCATCTGCAGAGAGGACCTGGCAGAAGACTGCACAATGGTGCTCCAAGCCTCCTCTGAGGATCTCAGTCACACTATCATGTGCCCAAATAAAGCCTCAGACACTGGACACATGACCCATCTCTGAGCCAGTTCACTCCCGTCTATTTTTAAGCCAATGGGGTTTTTGAGCCTGAATTTGGGGTTTTACAGTGATCCCTGTGAAATCCCAGGGCCATTTTTGTTCACAAAGTTTGTTTTCTCTTCTTTTGGCTGTACGTGATGCTGGAGAAATTATCTGAAATCTTCAGAGTGAACTTCCACCTCATTCCCATCTCTGGAAGAGTCAGACAGACCCGGGTTTGTGTCTTGACTCCAGCTCACTGACTCCGTGAACTTGGGAAGTTTTCTTGAATTCTCTGCGCCTCTGTTTCCTCAGCTTAGAGTCTGGGTGAAAAAAATCCACTTGTGTGTGAAGGCCGTGAGTATTCAGCAGATGCAGACCTAGAAGATAGATTAGGGATTTTCAGGTTACCTGGCCTCATGGGTACCACCTATCAGCGGGAGGCTGTAATTGTCGCTGTGTGGCTAAGGGGTCAGGACTGCAGGTGTACAAAGACCCTCGGCTGGCCCCAGAGTCACCCTCCCAAAAGAGCTTGCTCTCCACAAGCATTTCTCCTGTCACTGCCCTGGCAAGGCCCTCCAGAGAAGGCCGAGCAGGATGATGGCGAGATGCTGGACCTTAGGCCCTGGACCAGGTACCTCTGGCCAATCCCAGAATACTGCTGTGGAGTGAAGGGCTATGGGTACTGGGGAAGGAGAGCTCTGCGTTTTGTGGAACAGGAAGTCCTCACGGTGGAGGGGCTTAAGTTCTTTGTCCCGGCCTCATCTCACCCTGAGGAGAAGCAGCACCACGGTCCCTCCAGCACAGCCCTGACCCCAAGAGGCCGTGTGGCTAACAGAGGAGAGCTCAGCCTGCAGACCTGCTCATTGCACACCACACTGCAGGGATTACAAACTGAGGCCCGGAAAGCAGCCTGAGATGACTGAAATGTATGACAGGATAATGCTGGAGGGGAAGAATGAAAAGAAGCAGGGAAGAAGGGAGGAGAGGAAGGGAAGATGGGCAGAGGTGAGACAGAGGGAGGAAGGGAAGTAGACCTCATTTATTGTCAATGATCTGCATACCAGCTCCATGCCAGATTTCTTGCCCTGCTGCCCTCCTTTCATTCTTCCAGGATTTCTATGAAATAAGATTATTGTTAACTCGGCTTCGAATCCCAGCTACACGGTGATACCAGACTCTTCTCACACCTGGTCCAGCCATTTGGGAGGTGTCCTGTCTGTGGACTCATCCTAGACAAGCTCTTTCTCTTCTCTCCTTAAATGTCAGGGCGAGCAGCTCTCAAAAGCCCCCCAGGCAGGTGTAGACATCGTGTTCCTCCCATGCCCCAGCCTACCAGTGTCTGTCTTAGCCACAGAGCTGAGGGTGCCCATCCAGGTCCACCTTCCAACCCCTGTAAGCAGCACGGAGGCCGAGGCAGGACTCCACTACTCTGTGTCTTCATGAAGGGCACCAAAAATATTTATAGAATGAATTAACTAGAAATAAAAACATCACCAAAACCTATCAACTGGCTGCTAGGCTAGTGGCAGGCTGGAGATCTGGAAGAGGAGAGGACGGAAATTGGGCTCTTCTTGAACATGTGAGAAATCCTGGTCAGGGAAGATGCATGTTCTGATCCAGACTCAGACATTACCTGGCTTTGCCTTGAGAGCCATCAACCCTGGGTCTGGGTCTGGGTCCTGCTCCCTGCACTGCGAGAGTCAGATTAGTTGGGTCTTCTCTACTTCCCTTGCAGCTCTGCGATCCTGTGTGAAACGGGACCCTTGATTAATTAAGGTCCAGGCTCCACACCCCATCTTCCCCTCAGCTCAGGTCCAGGCCCCCTCGGCAAGACCTGAGAGTCCCGGAAGCCAAGTTACATCTCCCCTGAGAGCCTCTCCTCGCCTGCACAGTTTAAGACAAAGAAGAGACAGATTTTTTTAAAAAGAAAAAGAATTCACATGCCTCACTCACAATGCAGGCTTATTACCGGCGGGCTTTCCGTCTCATTTGTTTGCTTCTGAGTGATTTGAGGCGTTCATTCTGCATTAGCAACACTTACAAAAAATGTGAGAGGAAATAAATTTGCCACCAACATTACACACCAAGCTGCAGTGATTACAAACTGCGGTCCTGAAAGCAGCCTGAGGTGGTTGAAATGTATGAATGCATAATGCTGGGGATGAAGAGTGGAAAGAAGGGGGGAAGAAGGAGGAGAAGAGGGCAATGTGCAGACGGTGGGAGGGAAGAAAGGGAAGTAGACCCCATTTATCATCGATGATCTGCATGCCAGCTCCATGCAGACTCCTCGCCTGTGCTACCTCCTTTCATTCTTCCAGGATTTCTATGAAATAAGATTATTGTTCACTTCAAGTTACAGAAGAGACAGTGAGATCAAAAGCAGAAAAACAGATATGCCAGCAGTGGAGCAGAACAGAGAAATGAATCAGAGCCCTGCTGAGCCTTGGAAAGGCACCTCTTGCTGAAGGCCAGATACCTAGGGCAAAGAGGTGGGCAGCGTAGGGAATGGAGGCAGGGAGGGTAGGCACGGCCTGGTGCCCTCCTGGCCCCTTAAACCTGGGCATCCCGCCATGCAGGCGCAGGCACACCTGCACACACAAGAATTCCTGGGTCCTGGAACACCAGGCCTGGTGGAAAGGAGGACAGAACCAAATGGGATGGAGGGGATATGGGGAGGTCACCAGCCCCTTCCCTGCCAGATGCTCACAACAGCAGCAGCTAAATCTATACCAACTCGAGTACACTGGAGGTTTTTCCCAGGGAGGAAAGCACTACCAGAAAAATGACGATGGTGGTGGTGGTGGTGGTGATGATGACAATTTTTAACATAGAGCTTTCTCTGTACCAAGCACTGTTTCGAGCTTTGTACATTTATTATCTCATTCCTGCTCATTCTAAAAGGCAAACGGTAGTAGACATAGTATTCCCATGTTTCCCATGTGCAAACTGTGGTGCAGAGATGTTAGGATCCTGCTACTCTGTCCCGTTAATAAGAAACTAACAACTGTCAGGCACTGGCATTTCAGCATCACTTAGCAAGAAAGTCAACTCACACGCATCTGCCTGAGACCCAGTACAACAATTCCTAACCACATACAGACAGCTAAGTCATCTTGTTGATGACTCACTCTGGGACTTGGCAACCATGGATCACAAGCCACGGGAGGAGTTTTACAAAAGGGGAAAGACAGTCAGATAAAGCAAAGGAAAAGGAAAGTAACTTGGAAAGCTGAAGAAGTCCCGGGGGGACAATTCTTTTCTACGATTCATTTTTGTCTCCAAAGGAATACAAGATGGTATGACGTCTGTCAAAAAGAGTAAGTGGTAACCAAAGGGGAGACAAAAAAGTTTTCAGAAATTAAAAAATGAAAGATAAAAAATTTAAATATAAGGCAAATGTAGAAAGCCTGGAAGCTAATGGGGAAATCTTTCAGAAAGTGTAATTTTAAAAAGTGAACATTTTTCAAAATTTAGAAGATTCATCCAAGACATTTAACATATGTTTAACAGAATAAAATAAGGGGCAATTAGCAGAGGCACAAGGCGGATAAATGTCCTGGCCCCGAAGGCTGTAAATTTATACTAAATAGTATAATAAAGCAAATGGCCCACTAATCAACCAATATCATGCATTAAAATGGTTAATCATGAAGTCTCACAGCTGCAAGTGATAAAGAAAATATTAGAAAATGTCCATAAGGGAAATATATTTTTTAAAAAAAACAAACCTTGAATAACAGTGGATATTAAAAGATCTATCCAGTAAAAATCTGCTGGTGACCACATTCTTTGCAACTGCCTGGTAAATTCTTTTCTAAAGGGAAATTAGAACCATGCACTTCCATGGCTACCCAAGCAAATACTAATAGTTTTCTTTTTCTTTTTCGCTAAACATTTGGACCTAAGTTATAATCCCCATTGCATGTAGCCACTAATTACTACAAGTTGTGTCTCCTAAAAGCTCTAACATTTTCATACATAATCACAGTACAATGACCATACTGGAGAATTTTGAGACAAAAATATTATCTAACATGTCCATATTCAAATTGAACTCCTGATCTTTCTAATTTAGTCTTGTTTTCCTGGATGTGTGCTTGTGTCTGTCTATGTGAATCTCCATGTATATTAGAGACATGATAAAGATGAGGAACATGAACTATGTTCAGTTGTCATATCTTTTTAAGAGAACTAAAATAGTTCTCCTGCCATTTTGGTATTTTGAAAATATTTCACTTCCTGAGGGCTGGAGATGTAGCTCAGTGGCTGAGCCTGCCTCACAAGCACGAGGTCCTGAGTTTGATCACCAGTACTCCCTCCAAAAAATGATACAAGAAAATATTTCTCTTTCTGAAGATTTCATGCTAGTTGTTTTCTAGGATAAACGTCAGGATATGTCTGATTGTTACTGATTGATTAAATTCAGGCCATTTAAAAAGTGGATGTAATGTCTTTAACCTGCATGATATACTTCACAGTTTAATGTTTTTGTGCTTCAAACAGCCAGTTTTCTTCATGTGAGTTATAAAAGGAAAGAAGATATTATGTTTACCTACTATGTTAGTTGCCTTTCTGTTAATGAGACAAAATACTTGACATACACAACTTAGAGGAGAAAAAATTTATTGTGGCTCACAGTTTCAGAGATTTCAGTCCATGGTAAACTAGCTCAAAGGCAGAAATATCATGTTGGAAGGCACAGCATGAGAGAAAGCTACCCAACTAACGGCACCCAGGAAGCAGAGAACAGGAGAAAACGTAGAGAACAATAAGGCAAGTATAAAACAGTCCTCTAGGTCATGTCCCTATGACTCCCCAATGCATATTGTGTTTACTAACCTTCACGGCCTTTCTCAGCTTTCTCTGGTGAACAGTCATTTCCTCTGCAGATCCAAATTCTTATCTGACACCATTTCCAGGGGACTTGCTTTGGCTTTTCTGATACAGAGAGTAAGTCTCAGAGGTGGAATAGAACTGAAAATTCTTTTGTTTTACCTTTATGGGAAAGGATATATTTGTTGTACACAGTCTTTAGTATAAACAATTTGGTTTGTTAGTTTTTCTTATTTAGCACTTCAAAGATGTAATGTCATTGTCTTCTAACCTCTGTTGTTTGTGCTAACAAGTCATCAGTAACCTTATGATTGTCTCCTGTGTGGCTCTGATATCTTTAAGGCATTCTCCTTGTCTCTGGCTTTCATCCATTTGATTGTAATACCACTAGATATGATACATCTTACATGTATCTATTTTAGATTTTTACTTATTTCTTGGATTTTGAATCATCAAATTTGGGGTAGAGGCAGCCATAATTTCTTAATTTTTTTTCTTCTTTTGCATTAGGTTTCCTTTTGTGTTATAGGTTATTTCGTGTTTTTATATGGGTACATGAGGCTCTTTAAGAGTTCTTCAATCATTTTTTTTTCTTATTTCTTCAAATAGGGTGACTCCTATTGACCTATCATCAAGTTCATTTAATCTTCTTTCTGCTGCCTCCAATCTGCTATTAAAACTATGCAATTGCCTTTTCATTTCTGTTATTGCTCTTTAGATATAGAATGTCTATTTAATTTCATAATTTATATTTTCTATTGAAATTTTCCATCACTCAGGAAATTTCAAATTTTCCTTTATTATAATATATCTATAAGAATAATTTTAAAGACTTTGCTAAGTGCATCTTGCACATTATCTTGAATTTTATTTTCTGTTGGCTTCTGGGTTTTGTTTATACTGTGGATCACATGTTCATACTTCTCCATATGTCTAGTGCAATTTATATTGAATGCTGGGCATTGTAGAAATGATATTATAAAAATTCTGACTTTCATGTGATGCAAAGGTTTGGGTTAATACTTCAATCACTCAACTCTGTGGAAAACTAAGCTATTTTTCAACCCCTGTTAACTTTTGTGATCAAACTTTAAATTTATTCTATTCCAACTATCTTTTGTGTGGCAGTAATTAGGCCAGGCCCTTGTCATTGTCCTTATTCTGAAGACATGGACTTAGTGGGGTGTTAGCCAGATGCTATGCATGTTCGTGATGCACTGAGATTTATCACCATCAGGGAAGAGCTCCAATTCCTGGCACTTCCCTTCCCAGGGTACTTCTTGGCCTCTGGTACCTGAGTTCTATTCTTGGCATCTTATCAGCTGCCATGTTGTAAAGCTTGAATGTCTTAACCTTCTACATGGACAGCTAAACCTCAACCACAATGTCATTTAAGAAAATGTCTGTCTCCATGGGTTTCTGTTTTCCAGTGACCAACTTCCTTGAACCCTGAACTCTCATCTCCATTTCCTCAGCCCAGTGGGGCCATGTTCTATTCTTGGGCTCCAGTTCACTCACGGTGCCACAGTCAGGAGATGGCTGCAGGAATAAAGCTGATAATCATGAGTCTCTTCTGGAGTTTCTCTTTGCTCAAGGACTGTAGCGTTGTGTTGGCTGTTACCCACTGCCTGAAACAGTTATCTGGGTATTTTTATATTTGTTTCCAGCAGAGGGGATGATCCAGTACCAGTCGCTGCATCATGGCTGGAAGCCTATGAAATGCATTTTTAATTTCCCAGACTTGGAATGACAGAAAAACATAAAAAGGGAGGGCAAAGTGGCTATTGGGTGATCCAATCCAGTGTGTTTCCCGAAGTAGAAATATATTCTCAGTCTCTTCTATAGAAAATGAAAGCAGTTCCAGACTTGCCAAGA